GTATGCTGTGTTATATATATATATATATATATATACCATATATATTTTATTTTATCTAGTATATATACAATTTATTAAATACGAAACACTCCATATCTTATAAACAAAATTAATCGATTGTCTTTTAAATAAATTTTTATCTTTTGGTTAAAAGTAATTTCTCTTAAATCATTATTTACACTTTCACTTGGTCATTATCGTCTTCTCCGCAAATATATCCTCCTATTTCATGATTACGTTACGTTATTTATGACGGCAACTCGGATTAAATAATTTCTATCGTGCAGCCGCGTGTTTGCGTTTCGCAAGGAAACGCGAGGGCTGTTATTATCGCGACGTCTGATTAATCACGTTCGATGATCGCTCGATAAGAGCGATTAGCAAATCCTATGCAATCGGATTTTTCGATTACGCACTACTGATGCAATTTGTCAGCGTCAGCGTTTTTCATTGATTATCGATATAATTAACAATACGCAATTTTTTGTAAATAACTTCAGCTCCCTCAGTTTCTAATTACCTAACCAATACGTTTCATTAGTGTCTATCAATGACTGGTAACACGTGTTCGCATCGTTTTCGTTGTAATCCAATGATAGGATTACGAATAACAAACTAACACAGGCCCGTCACCGTTCATTCGTCGTTGTGATGCTGTCATGCTTGTTGCATTCGGTTAATTAACATTACCGTTTGTACATTCATATATTTTCAACAAATTAATACCCATGAAAATTAACAAGAAATATTACATAAAAAATTTTATTTATGATTTGTCGACGTATGTGTTTCCAAAACAAATAACACATCAATGTACTTAAATATTTTCATCCTTTCTTTTTATTTGTAATTAAGTTAATATTAGGTCGATGAAAATTATATAGATACATTAGATAGATTGTACTTTGTTTGCGTTTACTATTTTCCGCAATTATAAAATTCACAAAAGTTTTTACTACAAAGAAGCGAGATAAGTTCCGATCCATTGAACAGTTCCGTCTAGACGAGCGACGTAAACGCGCCATATGCGCGATTCAATTGCAAAATGTGCAATTGCAAAAGGAAGGGAGGTCGCTGGCTCCCTTCGACGCTCGCGGGCAACAAGAGCGCGTGATTAGGCTGGCCGACCAGCAACGACAAGATGCATATCAGCAGGGACGACATTCCTTTTAATTGCCGACTGCCGGGTCGTATCGGATCGGCCGATACGATTTTTCGAATGGCTGCCAATTAGAGATCTCGTCGCTGCGATATAAAGAGAACGTTCCTCCTCCCGTTCGCCACGGCAAAATCTCGAAAATTTTCTCACGAAGGCAAAAGGTAATTCTCATTGAGAAACGGGATGTCGTAATATCAAGCGCACGTCACTTATTATTATTTGAATCTGATATAGTAGTTTATCTCATTCTTTGATATTTTATCGTGACAGATCGCATCTCGTTGCATTCACGTTTTCGGCGAATTGGTCGCGCGTAAACATAAATCGCTGCAAATTGACAGTGGTGTTGCGCGTGAGTAGTCACAGTTAACAAAGACCAAAGAGGAGTGGAGTCGAGAGCTGGGCGAGAGGATAGCGTCGAAACGAGTCGGATAATTCATTCCGGGTATTAGAAGTAATTGCCGGGTCTTATTCAAAGAGAAGGAGAGCCCGAGAGAGAGAGAGAGATAGAGAGAGAGAGAGGGTCCCATACACCGGTGCGAAGTGAAGTGGAGCCTCGTTGTTCCAGCGGAGCATGGGATAAATTTAGAGGATCTCGAGAGAAGAAGGACTTAACTGCCGCTTCCAGGAAGAAGC